AATCATCATCAAGAACAATTATATTGATTACATAAGTGTCATGTAATCATCATCAAGAATAATTATATTGATTAAATATGCCATCAGGTAATCATCATTAAATATCCACCATCATAAATCATCAAATTGAACATATGATATAATGTGCCATATCATGAATATTTTTATACATTTTGTGGACGTATATATATGTATATGTATATGTCTATGAATCATTCTACAATTCTAGCGTGGTACCACTCAGCCGTTTTGCTGAACGTGTAGTTTGTATTTTTCGTTGACTACACGTAGGTAACAAGAAGACAATGATGGAACCTTTCCCGGAGGGCATTGAGTCAGAGGAGATGCAAGGATGGCAGGCAAATGTTGATCATCAGATTTTTAAATGTGTCATGATTTGATTATTATTGTACTTCCGCATTACTCTGAAAATATTTTTTTAAATGGGTCGCGATCCAGAGTCTGTAAATTTAATATTTATAAGTAATTGTCATTTTCAAATGTCAAGCGAAATTTTTATTTAACTCTTGTTTCACCTTAATTCGTGTAATTCCGGGTTATACGGATTGGGGTGTTACACAACTATGTTGTAGAGAATATGCTGCAACATTGTCACAGTAATAGATGACGGACAGGGTGCTATAACACTTCTCTGTCACAAGCACACACAGACAGAAGCAGATGATGCAGAGCGTGTTACAGTGCCTACTGGACAGAATGCTGTAACTATAAAAATGCGTAAAAAATGACACCAGATATGTTTACGCAGTTCAGAGAAACTCTCCTAATCTGTGGGGCCCACGTCCGTGTAATAGCCCTCCACTAAATCACTAGATGCAAGTTACACCACTACATAACAACATGATGAGACACTCTTCTCCGAATTGTTATGACAAAACTTCTAATCTAGGATTTCTAACCCGAACTCTGTTCAGATCCGCTTCGGCTATCACATCTCCACCGAGATCACGAGGACAAACGTGTTAACAGCCCACTCGTTCAGCTCTATTTCATCTTCTGGATGTCACGATCAGTTTGGCGTTGAAAATCTCCTCCTTCATGTAGATCGCAACCTTCTTCACGCATGGGAAGCTCCGGGATGCGACGGGAATGCTCTACATCAGCGTATATTCTTTGTTTTCCCTCTCAATCGCTCCAAGTAATTCCCAGGGACCTGCTGCGTTTTTATAGGCTCCTTTTAACACAATTCTAGTAGGAATAAGATAGTAGAAGTTGGCTTGAACTCTACTTCCTTAATCTTGATCCACAAGTAGCCTAAAGAGTTGGGATTCCTTAGCATGTACAGCTAAAGTTATTATCATGTAATCACAATTCCAATAGGTCTCTAATTCAGATTGCAGCTTAAAATCCCGTGCTCAGACCTCTGATCCCGAACAGTGTGTTGCAGCACCGTGCTGTAGCATCTTCTGTGTCAACCTCGAAAACAGCAGCAACTCTAGAAGTCTAAATAAAATAAACCTCTCCTAACAAACAGAGGTTTAAAAAAATAAACCTCTCCTAAAGTAAATATGTAGATTTAAAAAAATATAATGGTAAATTACATATTGGTATAATAGTTACACTGATGGATATATGTCGCTTTCAACATCCCGATAGACACATCGTCCATCGCCGACCAACTAGAATAAGGGATAAAAGAGAGGGGAGATGGGGTGTGGGTGGGAATCTTGCCGAAGGATAGAGACAATGGAAATGGATGAGAGAGATGGAGGAAGATAAGCAATCAGGGCACTCGGGATGGGGATGTCGGAGACGCCGTTCGACACCAATGCCAAATCCCCTCGCGATCCCCTTCTTTATCCCCACACCAATCAACTTTATAAGATTAATTTTTTAGCAATGATTTCTTTTTGTACCGCCTACCGATTCCCTCCGATCTTTCAATGTACTATATCAATTAACGTATAGTTGTGTTATGATTTTCACAGTGAATTGTTTTTATAAATTATTGACCGTGCAACACACAGGTACGAATCTAGTTATTTTAAACACAATAAGAAACAACAAAAAACTACGGAGTAATAAATTTTTCTCAAACATTCAAATGATTCAAAATCAGGGCCGGTCCTGAGGATTCATCGGCCTGCGCCGAAACAGAAAAAAAGGCTCTAAAAATTTTATTCTTAATGGTCTAACAAATTAACATATGTAAACTAATTATATTTAAATTATAATTAACGCAGTATTATTAGAAGAAAAAAATAAATGACAAAATTATAGTATTATAATTACATACCGTAAAAGCTAGTCGAGGATTCGAATAAAATATATATTATTTCTAAAGACATTTTTGCGCTTCATCCATGTATGTACATGATTTAATGCCTAGTATAACACATTTGGGTATCACTAAGAAACCCTCTGTGACAAAACATTGCAACTGCGCGAGTGAAAGCGTCTTAACTCATTGAAATTGCAGAACATTTTATATGCAATCTTAATTCATTTAGTAAACCTTGATCCCTATTATATCATCATGAATGGATGATTGGTCTTCCAATATTCATATCAAATCGTCAATATTTCATTTTTTAATTTTTTTTTAATTTCCATTTTTTATATACAAATATATAATGAATTTAAATCAATTCATCCAAATCAAATAAATAACATATAGAACCATTAATTCATTCTATTTAATAGCAATTAACAAGAATTTCAACTTAAAAATTAATAATTAACCCTAGAATTTAAATCTAAAGAACGAAACAATGAAAAAAATAAGAAATAATCATGGAAATACGGAATACCTGGAGGCTGGAGCTTGAGAGTCGGCGTCCGACGGTGCGTCTGGCGGCGGCAGCGTATCTGAGTTCCGTCAGTTCTGTACTTCCGTCGTCCCTGCCCTTTCGTGCGTCTCTCACTCTCTCCCATAACTAAGGGTCTAAGAGAAAAGATGGATTGGGCCTGGGCCTCCTATACATACACATATAAAATATTTGAAAAATATTTGGAACCCTTATTTTTTTGGGCCCGGGCCGGTAGGACTGTTTGTCCCCCAATTGGGCCGGCCCTGTTCAAAATAACACAATTATAGAGTAGAAAGTATTATTACTATTTGTATAAACAGATTGTTGTCAATACCTAATACCGGTTTTAGAAAATTTCTGTGGCATCGGTTGACACTACCGGACCCCCTAGGTCTGCCCCTGCCTAAGACCAAATTATAAATATATAAATTTAAATTTTATTATTTCACCCCATTTTCTTATTCTTCTAGCCCCCCTCCCCCACCCCTTTTCGTTCTTTTCCTTTTCCCTTCTCTCTCATATTTTAAATTCTACATCACTTCACTCTTAACTTTTTTGGTCAAATTTTATTAGTGGTACTTGAATTTTAAGTGGTATTTCAAATAAGTACCGAACCTTCATTTTATTTTTAAAAAAATATCCAACTTCACCTGTTCTTTCAACAAAAAAGATTTTAGCTCCGGTCACACCGCACACTTAGATGCTGACATGTCACTTTAAAACATGCCCAAGTCCATTTCCTTATTGTCGACTCATCTTTTTCCACATTAAATCCTATTAGTATCACACTCGTGCGTTGCACGGGTCATAGTTACGTTACTAAATTAAGATCATTTTTAAAGATATAAATTTGTATATATTGGAATGTAGAGTTTTCATTATTTTAAAGTATAAAAATAAAATGATTTTCAAATTTTGAAAGACTTCTTTATAAACTACATTACTCAAATAATTCGTGTGAGCATTCACTTCGTTGTATATCAGGATCTTCAAGCCATTGCGATTTATTAGTCATGAAACTGCAACATACAGTTGCCTATGACTAAATACAGGTTTCCGTAACAAAAATTCAACATGTTTCTGACATTGTCCCGGACAAAAATTCAATAATTTGACTTATTTAAGCAATAATTCAACATATTAATGTATTTATTTTGGAATTTGTAGTTTTTTAATTTTATTTCTGTATTTAAATTGTACCATTTACTTACCCTACGATATTTATTTTCTATTTTATTTTAGATCACTTACCATTTTTACATGTGTCCATGCTTGTAAATTATAATATTAATAATATTAAGTTTAGAATACTTATCATTGTTACATGTTTCCATGTTTATAGTATAAATAGTATTAATTTATATTTTTTTTATTTTTGCATTTAAATGGTACCATTTACTTACTGTACCGTATTTCTTTTTTAATTTATTTGATAACACTTACCATTTTTACACGTTTCTATGCTTGTATATTGTAGTATTAATTAATAGTATTAATATGTTGTTTTTCTATTTTATTTTTGTATTTAATGGTATCTTTTACTTACTGTAATGCATTTATTTTCTAATATATTTTAGAGCACTTACCACTTTGATATTTATTTTATTTTATAATTTATTTAGAACACTTATCTTTTATTTTACTTTTGTATTAAAATGTTACCATTTGCTTATCGTGCTGCGTACACTCGTACAGTACCGTATTTATTTTATAATTTTCTAATTAGAACACTTACCTTTTAAAAACGTTTTCATGTTTGTAATTTATAGTATTAATATTAATTTTGAAATTTTTGATTTTATTTTCGTATTTAAATGGTACTAATTACTTACCGAACCACATTTATTTTGTAATTTATTTTAGAACATTTATCATTTTTAGATGTATTTTACTTTCTCTTTTATTTTAGAACACTTACCTAATTTATTTTAGAACACTAACCATTTTTTTGTTTTCATTTTTAAATGTTGCCATTTGCTTATCGTACCATACCGTATTTATTTTCTAATTTTTAATTAGAATACTTATTATTTTTAAAACGTTTCCATGCTTGTAAATTATAGTATTAATATTAATTTGTAGTTTTTTATTCATTTTTGTATTTAAATATTACCATTTACTTACCGTACCATATTTATTTTCTAATTTATATTAGAAACTTACCATTTTTACACGTTCGTGCTTGTAAATTATAATATTTTTTTTTGAAATAACTAATTAATTTATATGTAGTTTTTTTTAAATAAATCATTCTAATCCCGCCCATACTTTATTAATATGTAGTTTTTTAATTTTATTTTCATATTGAAATGGTACTGTATTTTATTTCCATACTATAATTCCTCAGTGGTTCACTACTATCTAATTTATTTAATTTAATTTAAATACTTAAATGGTGTAACATTTAAATAAAAATGAAAACATACTTAAAATGGAAGGAAAATATTGAGGCAAAATAATTAAACTACCATTTGTGTAATCAATATTCCATATATAAGTCTCATTTATGGGCGGGAAAAACATTCATCTCTTTTTAAATAAAGTATTGATTTAAACAAGAAATTTGGCATCCCTAAACCGAATTATTCTTCATTCTTAAACCATACTAGTACCACACCTGTGGTTGCACATATCTATTTAAATTATAAAATTATATCACTGTAATTATTGAAGAATAAAAATAAGCTATATACTATACGGTCAGGTTCCATATTATAAAGTATTTCATTATATAAAGGGAACCGTAAAGGCCCCAAAAAGTGCAACTTAACGCATTACATTCTTCCGGGAAGTAGCACAGCTGGTGCTAATCATAAACCATGTTTTGTCT